AGTGTTGGGAACGTCCCCAGGAAGAACCGCAAGGCCGAGGAAAGCCCCGCGGCGTGTGCGCGCCCCCTCGGGCCGCCCCAGGCGCAGCTGCTCGGTTCAGGCCCCCTCTGGCCTTTGGGGGGCAGATCCCGCCCCGCAGCTGCTGCCCGCGCCCCCCGCGGCCCCCGCGCCGCCGGAGAAGTGGGCGTGGCTGACTCGGTTCTTCATAGCTTCATTTTTCATTCAAGAAACGCCTGTCCAGTTACTAATTAGGTTCTTTTTCATCGTTTCTTGGGTCTGGAAGCTTTTCTTCCATTGTCTATTCCCTCCCTTCCTTTGCTCTCGTTCCAGAACTACGGTTAGACAAATACTAGGTCTCCCGGGTGTTTCTTCCAAATTTCCTAACCTGCCTCTCTGATGTTACATCCTACCATCTGCTTTTCAGCCCATCTACTGTTTTTTAAATTTAAACAAGTTTTCCCCCGGCTGGCTCCGCAGTCGAGCGTGGACCTGGGATCCCGGAGGTCAGGGCGGACGCCCCGTCGGTGGGCGCGGGCGGCGGCGGGGCCCGCGGGGCACAGGAGGCGGGCTTCAGTGCCCTCGCCGCTGATGTTCTCTCTCTCCCGTCCTCTCTCTGACATCAACAAAGACTTTAAAAAAAAAAAAAGTTTAAATATTTAAATAACTAATTTTACTTTAACTGTATTTTGAAATAACTTCAAACTCCGAAAAGTTGGAAAATTGTTTAAAGAATGCTATTTACCCTTCACCTGGATTCACACACTTACATTTTGCCACAGTTGCTTTCTTGTTCCGTATGTGTATGTACAAGAAATACAGAGGCTCTCTCTGGGGTTTGTGTACACATGTACACACATGCTTTTTTATGAACTACATGGAGTGAATTGCAGAGCTCATGCCTCTATCCCTAAATACTTCAGGGACATTCTATTACGTAACCAATTTCCTACAATTACCCAAATCAGGAAGGTTAACGATACCGTAACCCGCAGACCTCCTCACGCTTCGCAGGTGTCTGAAGAGGGGCCTCGAGAGCACATTTTCCTGGTCCAGAATCTGTCCAGGCCCTGCGTTCCCAGGCCATGTCTCTTATTCCCCTTCCATCTGAAACAGTTGTCCAGCTCTGCTTTTCTGAGATCCTGACATTCTCTGGAGGACGGGCCAGTGTGTGGGTGGACACGATGTTCGTGTTCTCGGGCCTCCCATCGGGACGCCACGACGTGTGTCCCCCATCATCACAGTGGACTCATGGCTTTTATTCTATTCAGTCTTACGAGGTCATTATTTGTTTTGATGTTCAAATTGACCCAGACTTGGCTGCTGGGAGTTCACCAAACTGGCTCCTGAGCTCTTTCAACATGTGCCGCTACTTTTAAGCACTTCTTTTTGGCACTTGACGATGTTCCAGGCTCAGCTGCTCCTTTCTTACCCCAGTCAGCCCTTTCTCAGGGGAGATGATATTTAGAGACCAGGATCTGGGTGGCAAATGACCAAGGTGTATCTTTACAATTTTCTCTATTGTTTCTAGAGATTTATATATTCCAAAAACTTCAGTTTGGTGAGTTTTGGACCTTGTTCATGACCCCCAGTGGGGGACGTACAGGAGGCAGCCGGTCCATGACACAGGCGTTTGGCGCTCTGGGGTAGTTGCTCCTCCGACTCAGACTCGGGTTTTTATCAGGGCGTGGTAGGGTAATCACTATTTGTTAGAGCAAATATAAGTAACACTTTCCTCTCTTTGCCTACTCAAGAACATCCAGACTTTCCTCCACTCTCTCTATTTACAACCTCCTCACCCCATACCCCAAGAATTTCGTCACTGTCAAACCAGGATGGGGGAGCTTCTTGATAGAAGGGGGGGGGGATGGTGCTCAGGAGTTTTTTGTTTGCAAGACACAGAATACCAGAGGAGCTTCTGGGGAAGAGAGGAAAGCTTTAAGAAACGTTGTTGAGAGACCATTATATCCCCTTCAGGGTGTTTCTGAAATAAAAGCAGAGGTCAGGAGTTATTTGGACATGATGCTGTGGTTTATGGAGATGTCTCTGGATTGATTCCCTGGGTTACAGATGTCGTCAGGGTGCGGGGGCTTCCTGCCTTCTCAGGGCTCAGGATTGACCGCGGAGGCCACTGCTGCCAGCTGCTCAGCACAGCCAGGGGTGGTGGCACTGCCCGCCTGCTGCCTCCACTGCGCCTGAGTGCACTGGGCGGAGCTTACCCGGCAGCACTTCCGTTGATAACCTTCGGTGGCAGAGCAGGGCTGCGCACGGGCCGGAGGACACATGCCCTTTATGGAGGAGATGGCCCCACTCCACTCAGTGAAGTGCAGCACGTCCCAAGGGAAACCCTAAATGCTACGACTGCATTACCCCAAGTGTGCACTTAGCCATGGGTAACAGCGGCTCCGAGCAGAAAGGAGACACGAGTAGTCTTCCCAGCAACAAGGGTGACCTGGGGCCGCCTCCAGTCCCTGTTCGGAGTGGCCCACAAACCACGCCTTGCGTCGGATTGGTCTTGGCAAATAAGAGCTGCACCAGGTAAGAGACCCTGGCCCGAGGGAAGGGTAGTTAGACGAGGGTTGAACAGGAGCTGTTAGGAGAACCATCTCATATACAGATGAAAAAAGTTCAAGAAAGGTTGTGTTTAGCCCAACGTCAAGCCTTCAGTGGCAGAGCGGCCAGGGAGACTGTTCCTCTCAGCCCTGGTGTCCCACGCAGCACGTGAGCACACCAGCCTCAGCGGTAAACTCTGAGAGACGGTCTGAACTAATGATCCCCAGAAAACATGAGGGGCTGGAACTTAGTTAACCTTGACAGCCAGCTCCTGTCCGTTCTCACTCCCCAGCCCAATCTGATGTTCTTACAGAGAAGACCATGGTCAGCAACTGTCGAATGCCTTCTACCAAAATAAAGACGTTCCTGACAGCTGGATGACTGCTTTCTCAAGCCTGTTTGCTCTAGAATATGATTTTTTGGAAAAACATCTATTGATATTGCAAGACTAACTGCAACTCTGAGCTGTACTGTCTCATCCAGTGAACATCAGTGCCTGCTGTGGGGAGACCTCTGCGTGTTTTATGCAGAATTAACTGAAATGGAAATAAGTGTGGCCTAGAATAATCGGAGTCACATTTATCGCAAATAGTTTTATTTTGTCCCACGTCCCCACCCCTTCCCCACATCTCCTCCCTCAGTAAACCAGGCAGAGCTTGGGAGGACGCTGCTTTATTACAGGGTGAGGAAGACAAGGGAGATGCTACGGTCTCCCTCCCTCCTCTCTCCGCTCCCTTCCTGGTGGAGATGCTAATAAGAATTAGGGTGGCCTAGCCTCAAGAGGAAGTAAAAAGGTGGAACCAGGCACATTTTAGCTCGCGCTTGGCCTGTGCTGGCCTTTGTCCTGGGTGAGGCAAGGAGAGAAAGAAGTTAAGGTAACGCCACAGGTGAACTCAAGGGAGGACTGGGACTAAGGCCTAACACCCGACCAACTGACAATTTCTGTTTCCAACTGACAGAGACCAAACAGGTTGGTTTTCTCCTGCCCTGCAGTGACTGGAGACTGGTTTCCCATATTTCTGTCCTAAACAAATGCTTCCTGGAAAAGAATGACTTTCTGTCGTAAGATAGGGATGTGCAGAAGCTGGAGAGAGGGTGAGTGTTGTACAGGAGTTTTCAACCACAGGAGGAACAAAACACCAAGGATGCTGGAGAAGTCAGGGTGGTCAGAGCTGGGGTCCCAGCTGCACTGCCTTGGACCACAAGGCACAGCAAGCCCAGCTGCACACTCCCCGCCCACGTCTAGCCCAGAGAGCAGCAGCCAGCCCCTCACCGTAGAAATACCCAACCCAGTGTGCCTAGAGGGGGGCCCTCTGTCTTTGCAGAGCTAGACCAGCTTGGATGGTCTCCAAACCAACCCCAGTCAGAGCCCCAGGGCAAGGAGAGCTGGGCAAGTCCACAAGCCGGGGCAGCTGAGCCCAGTGTTCAAGTCTTGAACAGCAGGAAACCCCCGAATGCAGTGCCCGGCGGGCTTCTCTTTATTACCGATCCCTGGGTTAACTCGAACCACACTCTCTCACCCTTTTGGAGCTCGGCCATAGCGAAGGTGGCTGCTGTGCTTCCACTCCTCCGCTCCTCAGCGGCGCAGACCTGGGTCCGATGGTGGCCTCCAAACACCAGCTGCCCGGTGCCTGGCCCTGGGCCAAATTCAACGCTCACTGCAAAGAGGTAGACCCCTCGCTCAGGGGCTCGGAAGTAGCCATCTTCAGGGAAGTAGCTGCCGCCAGTGTTGACGTGAGTGGTGTTGAACTTCACTGTCTGCAGGGCGGCCACCCCTCCTGCAGAGCTGGCATAGAAGGCCACGGGGGACCCTGGAACGCAGGAGGCAAGTGCTCAGTGACTCACTCCCTTGGAAGGGAAATTAACTCTATGAGACCTGCCTTCCTCACCTCATTGAGATTATAAATAATAGGTCACTATTGCTATATAACCTGGACATTCCCAGCAGCTATGTATCTCAGAGAGTGGGAGCTAAGTAGCCAATTCTTAGTATTTCACTACTTGAGAGAAAGAAAAACACAAGTCTGCTGTCTCTACTAGTGAACTTTTGTAAAAAACACTTTCTTGTTTGATCCCCTTTCCTTCCAACATCCTTGAGAGGTGAGTACCCCTGGCTGAGGCTGGTCAGTGGCAGGCAGGGACAGCACCCAGGTCTGCCACTCCCACACCACTGCCCCTGTGCAGGAGGGGAAGGTACAGGGGAGGGGGGAAGGCTGGCCGCCTGGCCAGGATGCTCCCGAGTCCCACTGGGGTTCCAGCCACGACACTGGCCTTGGCACTGGTGAGGTCGCGCTCCCCAGATGCTCCCTCAACACTTGATGTTTTCTCCGCCCCACCCCACCCCATTCCTCGGATGAAACCAAGGCCTAAAAGAGGAACACATCTGCAGCCCCAGCCCTTTCACTCCCGGCCCAGCAACAGCCTGTGAATGACAAAACTTTGCTGTCCTCTAGTTCTGGCAGATTTCTGAGAATTAAAGTTCAGAAGATCTTTCCCATTTGTGTAAGATCCCTCACATCAAAGACCTGCAGCTGGCCCTGCAGCTCTCTCAGCGCCCAGGAGGTGGGGCGCTGGCCCAGCCTAAGGCTGGCCGGCCTAGAACGCCCTCTGCCGCTACCTGGTGCCCTGCACCTGCCCCAGCCAGCCTGCCGGGGAGCTGCCGCCGGAGCCTCCCCCAGCCAGTGGGCACCACGTGCCCTCAGGAGGAGGGAAGGTGGTGCTTCCAGATTTGCTAGCAGGCAAACTGAGACTGGGCTTCCCTGCAGGGTACAAATTCAAGCCCTATGGCCTTCCTGCAATTTTTATTTTTCATTTTAAGGGAAATTTCTTTAAGCGAAATACTGTAGTGGTAAATTCAGATTCCTAAACCATCAGACAATAAGGCCTTGACACTCACAAGTGGAATAAAGATGGAAGAGTTAGTGTAGGTGGACACAGCTTCAGTCCAGAAAATGCTGGGAAAACAGGAAAATGCCAGCTGGTTTCTACTAAATGTTAAGCCTTGTGCTATTTGGTAAAAGTATCTGTTTGTCTTCATAACGACCCTTGGTATGATTCTCCCATTTTTCAGAGGGAGAAACAGACAAGTGGTAATGGAGCCTGTGCTCTGTCCACTGCCACCAGGGAGACACAGGTCTCCAGGGCCATAGTGGAGGGTCAGTGGGAGCAGGCCTGGGGTGGGAGGTTCAGCGAGGCCTCAGATGTCCCAATATGCCAGGATAGGGCAGAGTACAGACTGCCCAGACGGTGGCCTTTTATCTAGCCCCATGTCTGGGTGAGAAGGTGGCCATAGCCCCAAGGCCAGCCTCTGGCAGGGGAGGGTCACTTGAAGCACAGAGCTTAGTGGTCCCCTTCCCAGGGCCACACTCAAGGAGAACATGGGAAGGCTGGCTGCACCTTGCTTCAGCCTCAGAACCAGGCTCTCAGGCCCAGGTCCCTAGGGCCCTACAGGGACCAGCCACACAGGGCAAGCGCCAGCACCCTAGAGACAGCTGGACTGGGTTCAGGGCTCCGAGCCTCTCACCAGCCGTGTGAGCAGGACACTTGCCCTGATGGAGCCTCAGTTTCAGGTGAGATGGCAGTGACAATGCATCACTGAGCTGCTGTGACAAAGCCCAAGAAGGCCATTGCAGGGGACCTAGCACAGGGCAGGACTGGCCAACTATCAGCAGAATGAGCTCCTTTCAGGGCCCATGGCAAGTGACACTAGCTCCACCCACACCCTGGGGAGTGGAGTGGGGAGGTGAAGGGCCGAGGGGGAGGGATTCGAGGTGTGGCACAGAAGAAAGGACGGCGGGCCCCCTCCTTGCCCGTGGTCAGCGGGGCCCGCAGCGGCCCTGTGTGTCTGCGTCTGCCAGCCTCAGATGGAGGGGCTCTGCTGCTCGCCCAGGGCTGGTGCCAGCGAGCTGAAGGCGCCCCTCCGCGGGCAGGTGAGTCGCGCGAGGGTGGTCGGCGCCGCCCCTTCTTCCCCGGCTGCCCCTGGGGCAGAAGAGCTTGCGGACGCCCCTTCCTCCCGGCGGGCCCAGTCCCCTGGCCCAGGGACTCACCTGCCCCGTGGGGCGCGGCTCCC